TGTATATTGGAAATTGATGAAGTTGTTTCATTTAGGACATACACATGCCATTAGCTATATATAGAATACTTATTTAAGTGTATATTAAATCTAAAGAGTTTGTGATATCCATATTCAAAGATTGTTTATTCTAACATTTTGTAAGCAAATGATACAAGTTACATGTGTATTTTTCTTCCTAAGGTATGACTTTTAAGAAGAGTTAAAATCCACAAACCTTATTTCCATTGGGAATGATTTGTCAGGTTACAAGAAATGTTCACTAGAAAGTACTTTTTATGTAGCTTAAGGGTTCCAAATTTGTAATTGTTTTGTTTTTTAGCATAAAGACTCTTTTTGATATTTTAGGACCTGTGTGTATATATATTTTTTTCTTTTTGATCCTCCTCTTCGCGTCTTCTCATTTATCTTGTCACTTTTTCCCAATTTGCTTTTTTTTTTTTTTTCCCTTTTCACTTTTCATCTCTTTTTTTTTCGGTTTGATTTTGTTAACTTTACAGTACAATATGGCTATTATTACTGTTATTGCCAAGTTTACTAAAATCATAATTATTTTAATGTTTAGACATCATCTTTATCTGTCATTCATTACCAAGATCAAATTTCTTTCCAGTGTCTGCCATCACAGCCTGCCTAATAGCATCCCTGTGCAACAGCTTGAGGCAGAGTTTTTGGGAGATCGAATAGGAGAAGGTGAGTCGAGTCATGGCATTGTTTAGCTACTGTTGTTGTTATCTTATTGTGCAAAACTTTCTTTTCTGATTAGTTTTGATCCCAATGTTTTTTGATCCTCAGTCTGAATTTAACTCCTCAACAGATGGTAAAGATGGTGTCCGAAAGTTTGTCACTGCCCTGTCCCAGTATACGAGAGCCTTTTTCATAAGATATAATCACGTCTCTATATTAGAGGTTGGTATTTCTTTCGCCCTAGTTTAGTATGGAGAGAAAATGAGCATGGAAGGGAGAGAAAGGAGTAATGGGAAGTGAAGGGGAAGAAGCTGAGAAAGAATGAATAGTTGAATGGGGATGGATTGTTGAGTATAAACAAAGATGAATGAGTGAGTAGGAAATGAGCATGAACAGGGAGATTGCAGTATGTTAATGAATAGGGAAGTGGGAAGTACCGAATGAGCAATTAAAGAAATGTGAATAAGCAAGAGAAGTAAGAAGAATGAGTATGGAAAATAATGCTAATGATCAAGGGGGATGAAAAGATTGATCACAGATAGGGAAGGAAAAAGAAACAAAAGGGTTACTAATATCTAGAGAGAGAGAGAATGAGAGAGAGAGAGAGAGAATGAGAGAGAGAGAGAGAATGAGAGAGAGAGAGAATGAGAGAGAGAGAGAGAATGAGGTATAAAAAATCCTGAGCTGAAAATCAGAAATTATACTTCTTGGAATAACGGTCAGTGTTCTCGTGATTATTATGTTCAGCTGATTTTCCAATGGTTTGAAAATATTGATTGAATGATTTTAGACTGTTTTCTTTTTCTCTGGGAAAATAACAGGAATATGTTTAAAGTTTATTGTGATAGGAGACTTTGAGATCAATCAAAATGTATAGTTATATATTTTCTTTTTTTGTTTCAGGAAGCAAAAATGTTTGATTCACGCATTCACACCAACAGTGACTGTACATTAGTGTCGTTGTTGATTGAAGTAGCTGCGGTAAGATTTTATATTTTTTAATTTATACAAGTATACAATTCCATATACAAAATCTTTGGGGTCAGTTATATTTTCTTATGTATTGTTTATAAGAAATTCAAACAATATTGCAGCAAAACTGGTTGACTAATTATAAGGGATAAAGAAAAAACTACAAGTGTTATTACAGTTAATTTATAGAGTAATACGGATAAATGAAATAGAGGGTTTATTAAGACCATAAGTATTGAACAAATTTTATTCATTTCAGCTAAAAAAAGGCTTTGTATAACAAAATTAAAAACCTAAAATAAGAAACTAAAAATGTACATTGTGTTCTTGTACTCCTCTGTTGCTCACTTAAGTATATATATGTACCACACCTGCCTCTGTCTCTCAGTATTGTTACATAACTCTTGGTCTCTCTCTGTCTCTCTCTCTCTCTCTCTCTCTCTCTCTCTCTCTCTCTCTCTCTCTCTCTCTCTCTCTCTCTCTCTCTCTCTCTCTCTCTCTCTCTCTCTCTCTCTCATATCTTAAGATTAGTTATAATTGTGTTTTATTTTTCTTATATTTGATTTAAGTTTTGTTACAATACTTTTTACCAAATTGTAAGAAGCATTGTAAATATGAAGGCACTGTTCTAATATTTTGATTATTGTAGGTTTAGTTCATATATTTATAAATATAATAGTCTTCCCTTTTCTTCCCTTTTTATGCTATTGGCACATACACAAGATGTATATTTACTACAATGATAAATACCTATTATGTCCTTCAAGAATTACCACTTTGAGTATCGAATATGCAGTATAGAAACTTAGTGACCCAGTTATTTCAATATAGCAATTGTTTGTTAATATGAAGTAGTGGTTCCCAAGCAGTGAGTTATGGAGGGCTTAGGAAGAGATTGCAATTGCTATAGATATACAAATTGGAGAACTTTTGGACTGAAATGATTGTTTATGAATTTATATGGCAGGGAGGTATCTGTTGGTAGATTGGTGCTCCCTGAAGTTGGCGTAGTGTAAAGATTATGGATGGATGCTTTATGGTTGATGCCCTTAGATGTCTCGCCCGTTCACTCTTTTCATAGATTTACGAAAATATTTAACGTTATCCTGATTTGCTGTTAAAAATAACACCCTCTATATTAATAGCACTAGTAAGAATACGTTTTTTTCCCGCCAATTCAAGAAAAGGCGAAATCAGGGCTAGCAGAGCCATCTATGGACAGAGATAATTTACAAAAATATAAAAAATGAGTACAGCATTTTCCCCATTTTTTGTTCATTTTCCCCGGCGGCAATGGGTTAAAGGTGAGGGTGTTGAATTGGAGAAGAATAAGGTTGAGGGAAGCTTTGAGATAGATCTAAAAGGGTCAGGCTTGTCAGCATACTTTATATATTGTGGGTGCCCCTGCTGGCAAATAGTATATATTCCATTGTATAGGCTCCTTAAATGAGACAAAGTCCATCAGCCTTTCATTAACCCCTACAATCCTGATGACGTGACCAATCACTTCATGAAAAAATTGGCTTGAGGGGTGGATGACATGAACATTCTGTCATGGGAAAATTTGGCTATGGGCTGAGATAATGCTAACTTGACTTAAGGCTTGGGTGACTGGAATGACTTGCCAAGTGCACAAAGTTCTTGGACGATGAGTGGATTCATTTGGATTTTAGGAGGGGGCTTTCGCATTATTTCTATCAATAAATGAATGTGGAATGTACTGTCCATACACTATGACTGGAAGAGTACCAACTCCATAGAGGACACCATTTTCATGTTCAGGATCCTATTCCTGGCTGCCATGACTGGTGGCGTAGGTTATACTACAGAAAATTAGATAGAAATTTTTTTTAAATATTATTGCACTGCTTTATAGACTACTAGAAAGATGATAAGGAGTCTGTGCAAGGAAAATAGTCTAACCATCTGGATAAAACAAATCAAGTAATAAATATATACATAGGAAAATGGCAAAAAAGCTAAAAATGTTTATGCAGCAATAGAGAAAATAACATTGCAAAGGGGAGGCATTGAGTCTTGTCACTGCATACAGTTGTTCGCATGCACCCAACCTACAAGTGGCACACCCATCAGCGTGTCTGCTCAAATAAGCCTAATGCTTGTGATGGCTGTAAAGCATCCAGAACTAATAGTTACAGGTTAATGGAAAATCTATGAAGCACACGTTTGACACTGAAAGGATTGTGTTCGGACAGTTAAAACTCCCTTGATCATCTACAGGAGGCTGAAGCTGGGATGTCCCGGTTTGAATTTGTGCTGGAGTACAAGCTTTTGGAGATTTATCCTCATGAGGTCAAAGTCAGGTTTGTTGGTAGGTATTGAGGTGTGTGTGTGTGTGCCCTGCAACTTGCATATGTTCTCAATTTGGCATGTTTTTCTAGAGGGTATATCATGTTATGTTCAATGACAATAGAAGGACTTTATATTTGGAAAGTGAAGTAATTGTCAGATGGAAAGCCATTTGCAAACATTTCATTTTGTATTTGAAATATACCTAAAGATCTTCCATTTATTAAAATTAATTATTATCTGTACATAGTCAACAGCAGATTCAAGGAAAAGAAATTAGATGAAGAAACGGTTTTAAGAATGTGGATATTACTACAAATATTTACCTTCATGTGATTGTATTGCTCATATGTTAAAACGACATTTCATGTAAATTGTGATGTTGAGTGATATATATATATATATATATATATATATATATATATATATATATATATATATATATATATATATATATATACATATATATATATATATATATCAAACTATTTGTACTTTGTGTTTGGATCATATCTGAGAATTTATTATACTTTCTGGCTATGAATATATAAGTCAGATTACTCTTTTTTGCAGATGGTGTTGAGACAGGAAAGGAAATAAAGGAGCAACTTCAAGAAGCGAGCATAGATATGAAGACCAGGCGCCCTTCCCTGACGTCATCTGTTCAATGTTTGTCGTGCAGGAGTCATCGGACAGCCGAGAAGAGGAGACGGATGATGACTCTGGCAGCACAATCCTCTTTGACTTTAAATAAGAGACAGGATTGTTTTGTCTAGACTGCTGTTACTATTTTTAACATTTGACTTTTAGTGAATATTGATTCATTAATGTCTGAAGCAGTTTGGATTGCTTAGAAAATGGGAGATTTTTACACTTCATTTTTGTCACAAATATATATATTTTTTCTTTCATGTTTTTCTTTCATGTTTTTTCTTACATAAAAATTCGACTGTTTTTGATACATTTTTATATAATGAAATTAGATAACTCTTATTATTGTATATATTGTCAAAAATAAATGGAGAAATCTT